CATGCAGGGGCCCACACTCAAACATTATTATCGTCGCCGGTGTACGGATGTAGATCTCCTTCCAAACAATGCATGACACGATGGATTGCTTTGCCATAATGTTTTGCTCCACCGTGGATTCTTAATTCTTTCTTTAGTAATTTTCCATTTTCAATTTATTCATCATTCGTCTTTTTCTCGCTCCCACCCCTCCCATATTATGCGCCCTTTCTTTGCCATAACTAGCTATTGCCCATTGTTATGGTGGGATGCCCCCCTTCCATCCATCGTCGCATGCATAGTTACACAATAGGCTGGGAATCGCATAGTTCTCCCGTCAGGTTTGATGCAACTTCCTTCTTTTTGTATTGAAGCAGCTATTATTGTTGCTTATTCCACTGCACGCAGTCGTCAAACTTGACTCCAGTGCCCCCAAAGCAATCCAGAGCACTGCCTATCGTCAGATCGACCTTGCCGCCGCTGAGCTTCTTGACGCGTTCCAGGTCCTCCAGATTCCTGCCGCCGCCGGCGTACGTCACTGGGATGGAGCACCACTCGGCCAACCGCGATACAAGCTCCTCGTCTATCCCCTGCTGTAGCCCCTCATTGTCCGCCGCGTGGATCAAGAACTCGCAGCAATAAGGTTCCAATTGCTTAATCGACTCTAAATCAAGACGAATGACCTGTCAGCACCAGTCACGAGTTGGGTGACAATTCAAAGCATGTCCTGACCTTGATTGACTTCCATGTCTGTAATGGTCTGCCATTTGTTCATGGCCACGAACCACTTGCTCTCACCACGTCGACGACAACTCAGGTCAATCACAAGCTTTTCTCTGTCGCCGCCCAGCACTTTGAGCATAGAGTCCAATCGTAACTGGCTAAACTGTCCGCCAGGAAATAAAAAAGACGTCACAATAACCTGCGCAGGAGCAGCTTTTGTGAGCATGTGAAATCCCACCTTTGCTGACTCAATCGCCCTCCACCACATACCTTTTCCGCGCCGGCCTCGATCCATTCAGCCGCGTTCTTGTCATTGATGCCACCGCCGACCTGCAGTCCATTGGGCCAGGCTCCAATTGCCTGCTTCGCTGCCTCCTCGTTGCCGGGCCCGAGCATGATGACGTGCGCGCCGTCGAGGCCGTTGTCTCTGTATAATTGCGCATAGTGTGCCGCGGGCTGCTCTGATACGAAGTTGGTCTGCAGTTTGGTGGCGTTGCTGCTGTCGAGCGTGCCGCCCACAATCTGCTTCACCTGTCCCGCGTGGAGGTCTATGCATGGCCGGAAGCGAGTCATTTTTTTCGGTAACTGAAAGCTGCAATTCCCGTACTGCTTGTCTCTGAGATTGCGAGATTTTGATGTGTTGAAAGCGAAAGGTTAGATGTGGGGCTAGTGATTCCAGAAGTCGAGTTTATAGAGGTTGACCATGACGGCATCGCCGCGAAGACGGTTTCACAGATTTCGATAGCTCGAAAATCCAAAACATAAACTGGCACCATTACTTCCGGGAAAGCTATGAGTTTCTGTGCTAGTCTCGATGGATATCTGCTGAAAATTCTCAACCGCGACTTCGTGTCCGAGGTTCAGGGTTGATCTGCAAACGGCGATGCGACAATTACATCACGGCTTAAAGACGGTGGGGGTTTGAAAACGCTTCAAACTTGTACAAAACTAGAACATACAGACTATTGAACAAGTATAAACTATCAACGCATTATATGCCGCACCTGTCGCTTGATCGATCTTGGTGCCAGGACCATTTCCAATTCCTCTTACATACCAAATAGTACCGTGAAGATCCATCCACAAATCACGAATCGAGTCGCCATCCTCATCTACCCAAGTAAAATGTCCATTTCATCCACTGCATGCGCATCCCAGGCCTTTTGCAAAACGTGGCCGATACCTCGTCTGTACGCCAGGCCAGCGATCCTCTCGATCCACAGCACATTCACCACCTCCAAGACGCCCTTTGAATCGGCGTGCTCCTCAAACCGGTCCGGCGGGAACACGAGCGACACGCCGCGCTCCACGACGGCCGAGATGGCGACAAACTCGAGCTTCTCGTCGCCGTCGTAGTTGGACGACTGGATGCCCAGCCAGCCATCGTGCGCGCGAAACTCGCCGATCCAGCGCCGGCCGCGACCCCAGATGTTGCCGACCGCCACGGGCGGGTTGATTGTGTCCTTGGGCGAGAGCGTGACGGAAAAATCAACGTCAAAGATGCCCGATGTGGTGCGGAACGCGAGCAGCGGGCCTGGATACGCCAGCTCGCCGGGCGGCGGCGAGACCTCGCCCTCCTCGGGGGGGTCCTCGACGGGCACCGGGTACCGGAAGACGGTATTGTCGTCGCCGTCGTGGACAAAATGCGCGCCGCTGCGGGACCAGCCCGGGGGCAGTGCGGCCGCGGCGTTGCGGCGCCCGCGCAGCTCGCGGAACTGGAAGCCCGTGTTGGGCACGGGCACGCTCGTCGCGCGGTCACTCAGCCGCCACACGACCGTCGGCCGGATGCGGAACGCGCCGGGCGCCTGGAACCGCCGCGCCGGCTGTCCGCGCTTGCCCGTTGCCCGTGTGTCCTGCACGTAATCGGCGGCCGCCTTCCACAGCGTCAGGTCCACGCGGATGCCGTCGAACCACCAGCCCATCCACGACCACGACGGCAGAAACGGCGGCCGCGACAGAGCGCGCCGTCGAATCGACGCCTGCGGGCGCCACAGCAGCGCGCAGTCGAGAAACATGAGCGGCATCCCGAACACGAAGCCGCCCGGGAAGATGCGCGTCAGCACCGTCGTGATGCCCGAAAACGCCTTGAGCGTGTCGTCGACTTGCGTCACCCGCCGCGCGCTGTAATCGGCCGCCACGCGTGCATACTCGTCCATGTCGGGCCATGGTGCGTGCTGGAAGCCAAACGCCGACGACGCGATGCGGTTGGTGCACTCTGGCTTCTTGCCCTTCCACATGTTGCGCGCGAACCCCCCGCCGTTGCCCTGCTGCCACAGGTCGCAGTGGCACTCCCACGTCACCACCTCCTCGAAGAAGAAGACGGCGCGCCGCGAGTACAGCAGCTCCTGCAGCGTCCACCCGCGCGTGTTCCAGCGCGACGCCAGCAGCAGCTCGTTGTGGTCCGCGCTCGAAGAGCCGCCGCCCACCCGCGGGGGGCGGCTCGGCCGTCGCGGATTTAGCGGGAGCAGCCCCGTGTTGACGTCGCCGTGGGCCGCGACAATGGTCAGGTAGGCGTTGGCAAAGACATAAGCCATGTGACGTATGTGGTTTTCCTTGACGGCCTCGTCGTCCTGAATGATGCACATGCGGTCGATCCAGATGTGGCGGAGACCGAGCTTGCGCGCGAGCCAGATGGCGTCGGCAATCGTCTGCGGCACGTTGTTCTCGGGCAGCGCCGCAAGCCACTCATCCAGGTTGGCCTTTGTGAGCTGCGCCGGTTCATCCTGTCCGCCTCCCCGCGCGCGCAGGCCCGGTCCCCAGACGTAGCTCAGCGCCACGTACCGGTCCTCGGGCTTGGCTCGCACCAGGCACTTGTCGGCCGCGTCGATGAGAAACTGCGGCCGAAACGTGCTCGGCGCCGATGATGGCTCGCTAGTCCCGTTGCAGTGCCGCCCGTGCTGGTTGTTGCACGTGTCAAGCCACTCACGGATCCGCGGGACGGGTGAGCCCTTGCTGGCAGACGAGCCGCCGCCGCTACCTGCAGTGTTGGCCGCGTTGGCGGAGCTGCGTCGTGCCGGCGGCGAGGGCGGCCCGCCGCCCGCGTTGGAGGAGCCCCTGCGCAAAAAGGTTCCCTTGAGGCGGTCCGTTAGGCTCATGCGGCGGCTGGGCGGCGAAGCTGGCGCTGACGGCGGCGGCGCGCTGTCACGGGAGGCATAGCTCTCGCGATGACGACGCTGCCTCACGCGGTCCCTATCTCTCTCGCGATCTCTGCGCTCGCGCTCCTGCTCCCTTTCGATGTCGCGTTCACCCAACATCGACTCATCCTCCGTGGTCTCATCATCACTTCCGCTTCGATCCCTCTCTCTGGTCCTGGAGTGCCTCCGCCTGTCCCGGTCTCGCACAGACGACTCGCGAGGGTCGTATGCAGTGCCTGGCATGATGCTCACCAAAGCGTCGCTCGAAATGCCCGGTTCATGTGAACGCTCTCATGGCAGAACAAATAAAGAAGAGGTAAAAAAAGGGGCTAAAACTGGGCGCAGCAGCTCGCAGGCTCTCTTTCTCTTTTTTTGAGGCGCGCAAGTGCCCTGACCGCAAATGTTGGTCGTTTGTCGTATCGAGGCTTACACAATGTCCGTGGCGCAGGCGACGGCGGCCCTCTAAAGGCGTGCGAGGCAGCAAAAGGCGCGCGTCAAGGGGAAAGGTAGAATGAAATACCGCAGCAGTGCCTTGTCAGCGTTCAGCAATGCTTGGACATGCAGCTTGCCTAATTAATAAATAAGATGCCGGGCGCCGAAAAACCACAAGGGGAAAAGGTGAAGGAAACCTGGTCCGTGTTGTAGCAGGGGCCGCCAGACTGGTTGCTGGGTGGGCGGCGGCGACAGCTGACGAGCAACACATTGAGAGGGCTGGGGTGACGAGACGTAACTAGGCGCAAGCACTCGGACAACTCAACTTCCAGCCTCGGGATTCCACAATCTAGCGTATAATCTGGAGATGGTACCCGGGGTGAAGCCATTGTGTTTATTTTTCTTTGTTACAGAATGACCGAGTATGACCAGCGATGCTATACGCAGCCGGAGATATTATTATCACTGCTACACGGATACATGACATCATGCCACAGGCATAGTTCGCAGCAGGTAGGTGAACTGACCCAGCACAAACGAACGCTTCAAATTGCCTATATCTCGATTTCACAAGCAGATTAAGGCCAGGAACAGCTTGAATCAGGTCATGGCAGCCTAATGGGCCCAGATTCAGTAAAATTGCCCGTCGCCCGCGACCGTACTCTTGATGCCCAACGGCAGCCGACTATGCCAGCTTTAGATATCCAAATAGCGCGCAAATCCACAACAACAGGTCGAGTAGTATAGTGGTTAACACGCCAGTCTCACACACTGGAGTCCCGGGTTCAATTCCCGGCTTGACCTTTTGCTACCCAAAGCAAGCAAGACCTGCAGTTGCTATCATTTTTGCCTTTGCCATATTTTTGCATTGCTTTATTATTACAGGGTTATGTCGTTTTAGTCAAGATTGACGGACCGGCAGCAAACGGAAGTCGCTACCACGAGTAACCAGCATAAATAGGTAGCGAGTCACCAGGAACAAGTATGTACCTATTTAGATTGGAGTGTCTATTCATTCTATCACGGCAGCTATAAACACGCTGCCATGCAATACTTCCTTCTAATATGGAAGATGGAGATTCAACACGTTTTCAAAGATTGTCCAGCAATAGCCTCTCATTTTGCCATCGGGCTGCCCAGTTCCCAGTTCCAGTCCCAGAATGTATTCTTTTCCTTTCCTTGATCCCAATTTCCATTCCCTTCAACAACACCGTGAAAAGCAGCCGCTATATTGTCAACACGAAAGCAACAACGATAATAATCCTACACCAAACATTCTCTCCCACCACCGTGGTAGAAGACCAAAAACCACCCTCTGCTGTGTAATCCTAGGACTGGCCGCGAAAAACCGATCAAACACCCAAGCAGTGCAATTCAGCGCCTCTCCCGTAGGTCGCTGTTGAAAAAGGTAGCTTGTTTGAATGCAGCAGACAATAAATTCGAGAAAGCCATGCTGATAAAATGACCCGTACCGTGGTAAGAGAGCAAAACGCCTATACATGAAACGAAAAGCAAGAATGAAAGATGATGAAAAGAGTGACGGTTTGTAAGTGTACAGGGGTATTAGAGTGGTGTCGCGAGTGCGGCTTAGTTGGCAGCCTCATAGGCGGGAGGCGGAGGACGCTCGGCGCCCTCTTCCCAGCCCTCACCAGGACCGGCGTGGCGCTGCTTCTCATCGTAGACGCGGCGAGCAATCTCACCGGCCATTTTCATGATCCAAGCGTGCTCAAGAATGACTGACGACGTGTCAGAGGTGGCGGAAGCGCTGTCGCGCAGCGCGAGCTTCTCCTTGGCGTCCTGCACGGGGGACGTCTCCTCACCCGCCTCGTGGATCTGGGATAGGGGAGACTTGACATGCTTGGATTGTTGATGGTGCGATTTGATATGGTCATTGCTCGTCTTTTCCTGCGCCCGCGCCTTGTCACCGCTCTGAGGCGTGAAGCGGACTTTGCTGGCATGCAGATCCTCCGAGACGGCGCGATCATGCTCAGATTCCTCTGGGAGAGACGCGGCAACAAGCGGCTCGGAGTAGGGCACATTGACAGATGCATTGTCGGACGTATCAGACATGTTGTCGCTAGAGCCTGCCTCGGAACGGGTACGGCGAAGATTGACGACACGATTCTTCTTCTTTCGGCCGGGACGGGATCGGTACGCCGAAGCAGAATGAGGAATATGGCCCGAACTAAGCATGGATAGTGAGGGTCGAGCAGGCAGGTAGCCATGGGAGGCGCTACCCGTGTCCGAAAAAGTGTACGTGGTGCTGGCACCGCCCGTGAGCGAATACGTCTTGGCCAAGCTCGGTGTAGCCACCGCAGGACTTGTTACGTCAGAGTGTTCAGCGTGGCCAGACCAAGCACGAAAGACGACGTCGCGAATGCCGGGGGTAAAAAGCGACAAGGTGCGGTGCGAGTCTGTCAATGCGGCGAGGCGCAACAGGTTCTTTTGCGAAAAGAGATATTGCATTTCTCCGCCGTGCAGGGTCAATTCCGAAATGGCATTGATATCGAGCGGATTGCCGTTGAAATCGACGGGGTCTTCAGGAGGACTCGAGAAAGGATCCGTGCCCTGGTTGTCAGCGTCGGCAGTTGGCGTCTCGGTGCCTTTCTGTGTTTGATCGGCGCACCAAAACTGCAGCGACAGACGATGGATGATGGCGGGTAACTCATCCATCATCAAATTGCGCAGCTGCTGCTCAATAGTTCGCTGAAGATAGTCGCGGACGAACTGGATCGAGTCAAAGGTCGAGGATACTTTGAGTGATTCTAGGGGGTCATTGCGAAAGACTATGGTCAGGCCTTTTTGCTTGGAAAAGACGAGAATGATGAATGCCGAGAGCTTAATCTCGGAGAGAGAAATGGCAACAGGGATAGTCAAGCCCGATGCGGCAGCCAATGGCTGTGGCGACGTAAAGAGCGGTTTTGAGTCGAGATAGGTATTGAGTGGATTTGCCTATATCGTGCGTGGTGCTGTTAGTCACTATCGCGAATAACGAGGTATGATAGGGTGTGTGTGTGGAGATGATGTAATAAGTGATGGACGCGATGTATATGCGCAATCAAACAAGATTATGCGACAAGGAGCGGCGCATTTTGTTTTGATGGCCGTGTCGTGAAGGAATATGGGAAATCGGGTGTTTCGGCCTGTGATGGTCGCGCGAGCGCATTATGGACATACCTGAACGCGGGTCTTGAGCGTCAAAAAGGCATCGCCCGAGTAACACATTTTGAAAATACCACGAAATCTGTCCTCGGCGAGGTCGCCAATCTCGAGAATCTCCAGATCGGGGGGGACAGTGCCGAGGTTGAACTCGCTGACAAGTATGTCGTCAACGATGATAGGAGGCTTGGGCGACTTATTGAGCGCCTGTGTCAGGAGGTCCCTGGCGCGCTGATAAAATCCAGCGTCGGCCGTGAGAGGCGACCAGTTGAAGTTGAAGGCCATGTTGTAATGGCGATTATGATGCCGGAATCATGGGGGGGTTGCGTGAACGATACTTTTTGGGCGTCGTGTTGGAAAATAAGACGGCTCGTGTTTTTTTTTTTTCGGCCACGGCGGGAGGCGACAAAGCTTGATCGGTATCTCGGCTACGCTGAGCAAACAGGTAGTCGAAGACGAGATGGGGCGCTGGCGATTCTAGCAATGGCCGTGCAGACGAAGAGCAGAAGGATGCCAAAATCCCGTGGCAATAGAAGTTGAAACTGGTGGAAGTTGAAGAGTGGTGGAAGAAGGGAGGAGGGATGATGATGAATCTTGCTGAAAGGTGGAGCAAGATGATGCTGGAGAAGCCGAGATGAGCAATAATGGCAGGGTAAATTGGAGCTGTGCGCTGGACCTCGGGGTTGGGCAAAAATGAAATCTTTTTTTTTCTCCTTTGAGTAGACACTGGTAGAAGTTCCAGCTTGTCAACCAACCAGCGTAGCTGCTAGATAAATATGACAGACCAGTGCAAAGCAGCGAAGGGAGAGCAAGAAAAAAATCGGCGACAGTCGGAAACAAGATCACGCAACTCAAGCGGCCAAGTACCAAGTACCTTTTGCGCGTGGTTCGCTGACGCGTGACAACAAGGAGCTGTGGCAGTCTAACTAGGCGCAGCGCTAACTAAATTATACTAAGTAAATACCCAGGGCCTTGTTGTGTTGCTTTTTGACCCGTGGAGATGCCCCGTACCTGTACTTTGTTGATGAATAACAACTAATAAATAAAATGTACTTATCGGTTCGGTGTATGCGAGCACTTCAAGTTTGTGGAGAAGAGGGGTTTGAAAAGAGTAACATGTAATAAATAAATGTCAAGGGTGCTGGAATTGAAGGAAGAAATGTACGAGACGGGGGATAGACGCGTCCAACCACAGAATGAGTACTTCTCAGAATGCGCTCATTTAACAGCATTCACGTGTTTGGTTGCCAGCTGGCACTTCTCATCAGGTGATGGGCGGCGCCGCGAAAACAAGTGCTCTCACCGTAAGCCACCTGCCACTGGCCAGTAGTAGCATTAGGTACTTTGTAAGACTTGCCCTTGTGAGGGCCAACCTCTGATCGTTACAGCCTGGCTAGGTATGTTACATGTACAACCTGTTTACACACAAGTGCCTGCACTTGCGACATTCATTACATTCCCAGCTCTGTTCTCGCGGGACCATCTTGAAGAGCGGCATACCTTTACCCGGTAGATGGACAGGTTCTACCGTGCTTATCTCCCTGGATAGCCTGCAAGTTCTGCCGGGTTTTTGTTATTCGTGAGGCTTTCGGAAGGGAAACTAAGCAGCTGTCAGGTAGTGCACCCAGTGATTTGTCCTCTGGGGTAGCTGACAAGAGGACAACTTTGCCATGTAGAAATGACAGGATTGAAAAGAGCCTCCGGAAAGCCTTGGTTCCTGGTAAATTACGAGTGGAGGAAACAATGAAAACTTGTACAATATGACGGGATCGTACAAAATTCCAGCTCTGCACACCTCTTACACGGCAACGGGTTGACGGGACCGTTGGGCTTGTTTATATCCTAGTGGAAAGTGGTTCTTCTGGCACCACTTCCCCGGCATGCTGTCACGGCTGCCTCCACTCCTCGATGATGCACAATCCACAGCTGAACTCTTGTTTCTCGGCCCGCTGCCCAGCATCCCTCGTGTCCTGTGCTCGTACAGTTTCATCTCGGCCGACTTAAGAGCCGCATCCTCCTTCGAAGTTGGTACTGACAAAGCCCATAACGAACATCGAGCATGCAAGCCACCGAAAGCCCTCCCACCTGACCCATCGCCGCCGTTGGGAGCCCCAACCCACCCTCACACGCAGTGCCTTGCATCTCGCACGCTTGCATATTCGTACATACACCACCACCATCCACCGCCACACCCCCCCCCTGGGGACCCCTTGTGCGAGTAGGAAAAACAGAACGCGGCCTCGCCCTCGCCGCCCCAATCATGGCCCTGTCCAAACTACCACAGCGTCAACCAGGGCTTGACCAATGTTACGCAGAGGCCGCAGAGGCGGCGCAGGCCTTCCAGCATCAGCATCAGCGCCAGCCCAAGGCCAACCCCCCGGCTGCACCTCCGATCGAGGCAGCCTGTGCTCATCATCCGACCACGGCCACTGCAACCGCCGCCATCACAGATCACCACCACCACCTAAATCATGTCGCCTTTGTGACCAAGAATTCCCTGCTGGTAGAAACACCAGCACCAGCACCGGCGCCAGTAGGAGGAGCAGCAGCAGCAGCAGCAGCAGCAGCAAGCCACACCTGCAACAGTGATGAAATGTGGCAAAAGCACTTCAAGCACCTGCCCAGAGGCTCCAGGCCCATCAGCT